TGGCTGTGAGCGTCGTCCAGTCAGCGACGTAAAATAATTCCTGAGGACCTTGGGGGCTGTCCTTAAACTGCCTCTTGATCAGCCAGATCAAACCGAGTGTAAGGCTCGTTGCATGCGAGGGTAAATAAAGTGCAGGGGCTGGCAGGTTCGGCATAGACTTGGGGCACAGGGGTGGGCCGGATTGCACACCTTCTGACACGCCGCTCAACCAAATGCTCAGGGCGTTGACACAAAGTGACAACTCAAGAAGGATACAGGGAGACAGGGGGATTCCGATAATAGTTCGTTGTGGCACTAATTAGATGAATTGCCATCCAGCATGCATCTCCACAGGTAATTATTTTTATTTTTGATAACTTAGTTGTACGAACTTGTTAACAACTGACAGACAACTGCAGATAGGTTAGTTCCTTCCTTGCTGCATTGCATTTTGTGCAAGATAATCTAAAAATAGAATTGAACTTACTTGTAGGACCCGACATTGTTGCTGGTTACCACTTGACTACTTCTCTCTAGGCTGATCGGAATTAGTTGATTGTTCATACCCGGTTGTGTGTCATGCTGAGGTAGGATTCGGTGTGGACTCTAGTTTAGATCACACACATTGTAGCTCATGAGTGAAGCTGCTAGTAGTGAGGAGGAGGAGTTAGTGGAGTATCTTAGGGTTACTCATAGTGCTTCTCTCAGTTAGCCTTTGACCTTCCTAGAGATAGGTCAAGGAGGAAAGGAGACTACGGAGAGAAGCTAGGGAGAGGGCGGCATTGCGGAGGACGAGAGACGCTGAGGCCAACGCCAGGGCTAGGAGTATAGCTAGCACAGGTGTGATCAGCCTTCGGCCTATCTATATAGAGACTCAAACGACGCCTTCGGAGCCTTCGGTCGGGGACCCGGCTCTTGCGAGCCCTTTGGCACGCGTCCCCGGGTTTTGGGGTAGTATGGCTACCTCCTCTGCCATGTCACAGGCCTCTTCCCAGGCCTCTTCGTCAGGAATCAATCAGAGTACCCAAGGCTCCATAAGTCAGTCTGTTGGCTCACAAGTCAACCAACAACCCCCACTCATGCCAGAGGATTATGAGATCCTCCAAGCGGAAGCTTTTCATGATGAGTTGCAGCGGCAACTGAGAGAAGTAGAAGAGAGGAGAGAAAGGGCAAGATTGAGAAAAGTCAAGTTAAGCACTAGGCTTCAGGAACTAAGAGGGTTAGAAGAACTAGATGAGTCTACATTAAATCCTGTTGATCGAGCACTGCGTAACTCGCTACTTTGTGTGGCAGAAACGCAGGTAGTTCAGCAGGAACTGTTGGCTGAACTAGTGGCAGGCCAGAAACGAATTATGGCTGCACTTTAGGGACCTCGTTTAGTCATGAGGCAGCCCCAATTCTCTGTAGTTCCC